AGAGGAAATCATGGCTGTGGCTTACCGAAAATCAAAGCAATTCGCCCCCACAACAAGAGCAGCCGGCGGACAGAGCAAGGCAGATCCGGATTTTCCAGCAGGGTGGAGAATTTCTGGGTTCCATTTTCAGTTCTAGAACAAGAAAATAAGGCAAGAACCATCACGCTTCACCGGTTTCTCAAAGCATGGCTGGTTCCCCTTTTTTTTTTTCCCCTTTCGGGCTGCAGCGGGAAGAAGAGCAGAATCGGGTTTGAGGAGGAAGAAAAGAAAGAAAGAAAAAGAAAAGGAAGGAAGCTAATCCTTATCCAAAATCCTTTCACTTTTAAGTCCCTCAACTTTTGAACATTTTGCCATTAAGCCCCAAAACAATATTTTCTCACAATTAAACCCCTAACTAAATGCTAAAAATTCCAGAAATTTTGGTGTATTACAAAATCCATTCGAATTCTTTCAGTGCATTCCTGTCTAACCTGTCATTAACTGCAACTTTTCTCAAATCCAACACACCGTGGTCCTCAGCGGCAATTGATATGGCAACCTCACGAATCGAATCATGCATATCAAAATGCACATTGCGACCGCCATCCAACAACAAAGAATAGTCTCTGATCAGTTTACTTACCAAGTTCAGTGCTTCATGTCGTCCTTCCTCCATAGACTTGGCTCCTGGGAATAATCCCAGGCCTATCCCATATTTCAACAAGTCTTGAAGGCCCGCATTGTGACCCATCAGACTACAAAGCCATAAAGTTTGTTGGAGTTCCTTGCTTTCCAAATCACCATATCTCAACTCGATAGCTGAATAAAGGCTTGAGCTTGATGACATCCCGCTCAAGTTTACCTCCTGAGAGAGCCGAAGTAGAGTGATCCTCCACTTTTGTGGAATCTTACTTTTCAAGGTATTTGCTAGTGTTGCAATAGCAATGGGTAATCCGCCACACTTCTTGGCAATCTCCTTTGCAAGAGGCCGGAGAATATGACTTTCAGCCTGCTTCCCTGCTATCTTCTCAAAAAGCGCCTGTGCTTCCTCTTCTTTTAATTGGTCGACCTTAATATTTCTATGAGTAGGCATGTCAGGTGGTAAAACACCAGGATCTCTAGATGTGAGCAAAACAATGCACTCAGTTTGTTCATCTAATGACGAGATTTTTTGTTTCTTTTTCTCTATAGGCTGCTTGTTTCCAGATGGAATTCCTACTTTCTCCAAATCCATTTGTTCCCAAATATCATCTAAAATGACAAGTACCTTGTTGTTTGTCAGCCTTGACTTTATTAGGTCAGCAGCTCCCTGCAGTGTAACTCTATTAGGAAGCTCTAGACCCAAATCACTTGCAATTTCATCTTGAATTCTTTTCAAGTCTAGATTCTTTGTCACTTTAGCCATAACAACAACATCAAACAACTTCCCTTCCTTGGCTGTTCTTTTAATTTGTTCCACCAGCATAGTTTTCCCCACACCTGGGCCCCCGTACACTCCTATACTGTTGATGCCCGGACTTAGAAGTGCCTCCATGATCTTCATGAAAACATCCTCTCTGGAGTTGAAATTCTCATAAACATCAAAATTTGCAGCCGTAGCAGCAGCCACTAGCTATTTTTTCTTTGAGAGAGCCACTTCTTGTCTTTGAACAGGAAAGGAGGAAATTCTGTTGAACTCCCCCATACGCTGCAGTGAAATAGAAGTTATAGCTTTATTTGTTTTGCTTTTCTAGTAAAGAAATTCAAAGAGTAGGGGAATGTATAACAGTGGAAAGGGGAGGCAAAAGAGGGAACTATGGAGGTGAAAAAGCAGTGACGGGGGAGCGGTGGCAAAAGAGGGAACTTCGGAGTTGGAAAAAAGAGGGAGCTATGGAGGTGGAAAATCAGTGACCGGGAAGGATGGCAAAAGAGGGAACTTCGGGGTGAAAAAAGGGGAACTATGGAGGTGGAAAACAGTGACAGTGAGCGGAGCGGATTGGAAGTGAGGGTGGCAGAAGAGGGAAATCTGGAGGTGGAAAAGCAGTAACCGGGCGCAGAGCCGATTGGGACGAGACAAAAGAGGAAAGTCAGGAGGTGAAAACGCAGTGTTAAATGGGAAGCGGATACCAACTTTTTATACGAGTGAAAGGTATCGGTTTTTCTGGATAAGGATTTGAGTTTAAATTTTATAAATAAAAAAATAATTATTAAGTGATTTTTTTTTACAAAATTTAATTTAATTTTAAATTAATTAATATATAATGTAATCACTTAGAGGTTAATACAAGAAAAAAGAAAAGCGGATTCCTCGGTTTATGAACGTTTCAATGTTTTGAATATCAATGTAATTTCATGTAGTAGGTTTTTGTTTGGTTTGGGGGGTGATCGGGCGGTGTGCGGGGTCAAAAGTTGGCTAATCAATGAAAGCATATGTCGAAGTACAATGTGAACAATAAAAAAGAAAAGTTAAATG